ATGAGACAAAGGATATTATAAATAACTAGTGCATTAATTGCTCTTTATTTTATTCCTTGACTGATGTTTTTCTTCCTGGCTGTAGATTTATTGGAAAAAGTAAGTAGGTGTTTGCCTTTGCTTGGTTAATTTTGTTTGATTTAATACTTTCTTTGAAATTGCAGATGAAAAAAATTCTCCCTAAAAATGATTGTTTAAATGAAAATTATTTTTTACTTTGACAGAATCGTGTAGTAAGACAAAACCCAGGGGAAAGAAATTATCATATATTCTATGCTCTGCTGGCAGGGATAGAAGAGAGAGAGAAAGGTGAGTGGCAAAGTGCAAGTCACGCAACGGTAGTGGCTTTCTGCTGGCAGTCAGCCGTGGTGACAGCAGTGGAGAATTTAACTGCAGAAACACTCTAACCCAGGCAGAGCAATATGTTATTTATTCAGCTGGGATTCAGTGAGTGAATTTGAGCTCAACTTCATAAAGCAATCTGCTTAGTTATAGAGCATCAGCGAGCTGCTGGTAGTTTTTGTCCCAGCTTCTAGTGTGGCCCTGGGAAGATTACTCTGGGACAAATATGCCTCGTTCTGTTCAAGCTGAGTAATTTTTTCTGGTACTAAATAACTCCACAGCAACAAAGAGAAAGAATTCTGGTTCCTCTAATCCTCTCCCATAAATAGTAAATCCACCGAACAAAAGAAATGACATTTGTATATGTGCAAAATTGCCTAAAACTGTCTCAGCATCTCCCTTTGGGCCCACTGTCTTTGCAAGCTATAGAGTTAATTTCATCGTGCAGCTAAATAAAGCAAAACCCACCAAAATAAACCCCTATATCTGATTTTAATATAAAACTCTGTGCACCATCATAATTTCTAAGTAAATTGTGAACTGTTTAACTCTGACATAGTAACTTGTGGAGTGCCGTTGTTTTGGGATTTTTTTTTCACTAGTCCTCTTTTCTCTCCTTACTAGATGCTTTTTACCTATCTGTACCAGAGAACTACCACTACCTGAATCAGTCTGGATGTATAGCGGATAAGACAATCAGTGACAAAGATTCTTTCAAGGAAGTCATTGTGAGTTATTTGCCTAATTCTTTGTGCTTTAAAAATGCTGGAGGTTCAGGCACTGGGGCATATTCACAGCGCAGGGGACAAAGCTTTCTGGTGCTTTCCTTCACCTGCAGCTCTCTCATTGAGGCACTAATCTTACAGGGACTTAAAATTCTCTCATAACACTTCACTGTCATTTTGAGCATGGCTTTACCCTTCTATCATTTCAAAGTGTGCTATAATTTAGTGAAATGATTTTGTTTTGGAATGAAAAGAATATCAGCTGGAAAGACAGTAAGGCATTTACATGCCTTTGCCCTTCCTTGCATTTATATTATAGCCATATCTGCTTCCACTAATTGTTTACTATGTCACTGAGGTGATATGTGTCAGATTTTAAAAATCAGACAAAATATTTGGTTTTATGCCCTTCACCGAACTCATTTTGCTTAGCTGTGTTAATCCCTTTGCCAAATGGACACAATAATGTGCAGTGGATGCAGCAGTTATTCCTTGCGTAAAAAAACCCTGGTCTGGTGTGGCACAAGGAGGTGCCGGAAAAGTTGATAACTTATCTATATTATAGTCACAGGCTCAAGCTGATTAGCGTGACATTTAATTTGTGCTAATCATCCCAGGGTAGGCAGAGCATGAAATCATCTGGGCAGGTGACGCTTGCGCGCTGCCCGCAGCGTGGGCAGGCTTGGGGCAGGGGCTGGGGCTGCATTCCCAGGGCAGGAGGAGGGCAGAAACACCACCGCCTGCCCTGGGAGTTATTAGAGTCACCTCCTTTGCCTATTTTTATTGTGGTTTAAGTGCCAGAAATGTTACTTGAATTAAACTTTTTTTGTAGGAGACAGGGAGAAACTGCATGGTGAGCATGGAGTTGATCCCTAGTGCAGCCGTCTTTCTTAGAGCTCTGTTTTGAATGATCTTCTAGACAGAATAAACCTGCAACCATTATCTCTTCTCTGCTTTTAATTGTGGAATGAGTCTGAGGCTTTTCCATTAGTAATTGATGATTTATGAAAGATAAAATGTGTCATGTCACCTGTCAGACACCTGCAATAATCATAACATGATGAGTGTTACCTCTATGGGTATAAAACTGTGATCTGGTCTCAGACAGACTCATATTAGACCCAAATTTAGGAAAGTCTGGTAATTTTGAGAGGCATACAATTACCCCTACTATGTCAGAGAAAAGCGTATGTTCTTCCTCTTGTCTTAATATCTCTTCAGACAGATATTTGCTATTGTCCTCATTTATGTAGTTGAGCCTTGATCATTGCAATATCGGTCATTCATAACTTCAACATATTTTATATAGATCTCTTTTTCTTGCTCAGTTTTGCCGTAGGATGTCAGACCACACTGGTATGATGTGGTCTGGGGCTTTGTGGCTTGCCCAGAGTATGCTGCAGAAGGCGTCCCCAGAATTCTGTGTGGCTGTGACAACAAATGAGCAAATCTTAGAGGTTGCTGTGTTTCCTCCTCCATCCCTTGTTACCTACAAGGCTAATTGGCAAAATTTGGTGAAAAACACAGAGGAGGCTATCAGTTACTAATGCAGTCCTGAGTTGCTTTTCTAAAGCTTGACAACATAGTTGATGGGTTTGTCCTTGTCCCCATTTTTGAGTGAATGTGCATGTTATTGAAGAAGCTCACATGTCATTCCAGACTGCAATGGAAGTGATGCAGTTCAGCAAGGAGGAGGTGCGAGAAGTTTTGAGACTGTTAGCTGGCATTTTACATCTAGGAAACGTTGAGTTCATCACTGCTGGTGGGGCACAGGTGTCCTTTAAAACAGGTGAGAAGGCTGTGCATCCAAACGTGAATGTCTCTTGAGGCTGTGAAAACTGTGTTCACTGCTAGGGTGTTGGAACATAGCAAGGGCAGGCAGCGAAAGGCTCTTACTGCTTTTGAACAGTTGTGAATGTTCATTAAAGTGTTATTTTTGTGGGGTTTTGACAAGGCAAATTAGTCTGCTGCTGGATGCTAGGTCTTAATTACAGAAGCATATTTATTCCGGCACGTATTTATTCTTTTAATCTATTTATTTCTTAGAGATATTTTCAAGTTGATAAAATGTAAATGCTCAAATGTGTTCCTTACCTGAGACGTCCACTGAAGGTATCTTTAGTTAGAGCTTCGAATGTACTTGAATTACAGATCTGAAACTATCCAAAAAAACTGGACTGGCGAGTGTTTTAAAATGTTTGTTCAAATATGGCAATGAAAAGTAGCATTATGTACTGCTTTATATACCACAGTATAGGAAAATTGCAAATTAAAGTGTGCATATAAGAAAAAAAAACACATTGGTTTGCTTTATCCTCATCATCCCAAGGGAAGCTGAAATGCGTTCATGTGAACTAAGAGTGAATTAGCATTTATATATTGAAAAATATCTTAGTGCAAGCAGTAGATAGTTTGAATTCTTGACATGTAACATTAAGATGAAAATAAATAGTTGTGAGTTGTGATTACTTTCGACTGCTAAGTTCCTTCAGTTGTGTATATTTTTGATGGTGTGCCTTTTCATGAGCAGCAAAAACATATCCTAGAGTTTCTAGCTGTGTTTTTATCTTTAATGTCCATCAGTTTAGAAGCATCTTGAATGGTGGTGGTAGTCATAATAATACTAGTACAAATTAATTTCATAACCTTACACATTTAAGCACGTATTTGTATTTGTCTCTTTCATTTGACAGCTCTGGGTAGATCTGCTGAGCTGCTGGGGTTGGACTCCACACAGCTAACTGAAGCGTTGACGCAGAGGTCAATGATACTCAGGGGAGAAGAAATCCTAACACCTCTTAGTATACAACAGGTAAAGGCATCTTAGTTTTGACATGGTTTTGAGATCTGTTAAATATAAGGCTTGGTCTTCAAGTCCAGGGAAATCATTGGTAACTTGGGAGTGGAAGCTTAGCTCATGCATCAGAGTTGCTATCAAAATACTATATAGATTTTTGGGGAAGGTATAATTTGGCTTCTAGAAATCTCTATAGATCCCATCCAATCATTCTGGCCAGGGTTTGTAGCTTGGCTCATGTTATTCTTATCAAGATTGATTGCTTACAATTTGTTTTTTTTTTTTTTTAATCTTAATCATGTAGGCTGATATTTTTCATTATGGATATTTGTATCAGGTGGGCATTTTTTAAACCTTTCAGCAGAGATAATTCTATTATTTATGAGAGGGGGGTTAGAAATAGGTGTACAAAACATGCTTACCACTAGTAGGAGTAAACTAGGATGTTATTTCCTACCCTTCTTTTCTTCCTCCACACCTTAAGTTCATGATTTCCTAATTTTTGAGTGCTTTAGCCTTGAAATGTAAGTTTAAAGCTGCATAGGTGTACAGCTGTTAGAACTTGCACTGTTAAAACTTAAATCCTGACACTCTGTAATTGCTGTCAAGGTACACAGGAGTACAAACCTGCTTGCATTGTACATTGCTTTGTGCTATGGAAAGGATGCTGACCAGCAGAGTCTGCTAAGTTCTCAGTTACAGGGTTGATGGGTTGTGGTTTCCTTCTTTAATGCAGGCAATAGACAGCAGAGATTCTATGGCTATGGCACTTTATTCGCAGTGTTTTGCTTGGGTCATTAAGAAAATCAACAGCAGAATCAGGAGCAAGGAAGACTTCAAGTCCATTGGAATTTTGGACATATTTGGATTTGAAAACTTTGAGGTAAGTTTCAAAAGTTGGATTGTCTGATATTTATGCTTCATTGTTCCTACATATAGTCATCATCTTCACTGAAACTTGATTATTAGACATGTTATGGCTTCAATTAGTTCCTTGTTTGCAAAGTAAAATACTTGGAGCGTGGGCATTTTTGAAAATTTCTTGTCTCTTTAGGTAAATCGTTTTGAGCAGTTCAATATTAACTATGCAAATGAAAAACTTCAGGAGTATTTCAACAAGCACATCTTCTCTTTGGAACAACTGGAATACAGCAGGTAAGAGATACAGAAATTTGAAAGAATTTTGACAGTACCAGTATCCACTTGAAATCTGGGTTTCCAGCTACCTTGGCTTCCTTTGAAAATCTCTATCTAGAGCTCTGTATTTTTTTAAATTTTTTTTGCTCTAATTTGCAAGATAAATACATCAGCTCCTCCTATTTTTATACGTAAAATAATTTTGTCATAGTTCTCAATAAAAAGGCCCTCCTTATTTTCCTTAGGGAAGGACTGATTTGGGAAGATATTGACTGGACAGACAATGGAGAGTGCTTGGACCTTATTGAAAAGGTGATAAAGAATTTGATACCAGTATCTATTTCCAGTTTTTGTTCTGAGATGTGCCTTTAATTACCAACAAAAGAAAAAGTGAGGAGAACAGTGGATCTGGCATGTTTAGATAGTAAACTTTTAATCAGATAGTTTTCGTGCATAGATATATTACAGGTTATACTATTACAGAGTATAATCTATAGGATCAATATATGTATCTTTCTTTGATTATATACAAAAGCAATCTTTGGAGATGATTAAAAGGAGTAGAAAAAGGGGGTAGAGAGAACGATAGTGTCTTGTGCCCATAATAGCTTTTCACAGGATGCAGGTAATCTGCATTTGTTGGCTACCAATTTTGGCTTCAGCCATCGTTTTATTTGTGCTCTGATTGGTACTAAAGGAACGTGTAAAAGAACCCGGAGCTCCTGCAGAGTCGTTGGTGGGAACATTAACAGTGTGGGGCAGGCGAGTTCCCCGCGTAGGTGTCCTCCTAACCCCGACCGGCTGGCAGAGCAGACGTTACGGTTCCACTTCATCTGTGCTCACTTCTGCCAGCAGCACAAGTGGGCTGTGTGAGTTTGGACAACCACAGAAGCTGATGGCAGCAGGCAGGAGATCCAGCTGCCAGGAGGTGACTGTGGTCAGGATGGTGTGCTTTGTCAGGAACTGCTGCGGGCTGATGGGAAGCAGCTTATTAAAATGTGCACCTGGAGAACTGGGTTTTTCTGAAAGCCTTTATCAACTTGAAGCTAGATGAACTTATTAATTAACTGCAGGGTAGCTTACATTGTTTACCACCTCTTTAATATGAGGAGCAGGGAACATCAAAGGAAATTACACAGAGGCATATGCAAAGCACAGGGGGGTTATGTTTCACAGTCAAACTGTGTATCTTTTGCTGTGCCTCTGGGTACTGTGGGTGAAAAAGCTTAGTGTTGGTTCATCAACTAAGCAGATAATTTTATGGAAGAAAAATTTTTGAAAGGCTGTTTACACAAACTCCTCCGTTGTAAGGGATTCCTGATCATTTGAGATCTTGGAAGCTAGGAGTATATGCTGGGGCAATGTCATTGTGCACAGCTAAAAACTGCCTACATCAGGAGAATGTGCTTCTTCCAGTAGCCTTTTGCATTTATTTTGCCCATGTGTCTTATGCCGTATGTTTAGAAAGGAGCATTGCCAGAAAAACAGGATTGCAGTCCTCTAGAAGAGTGGGTTTTAGTCATGCATCGGTGGTTTTGCACCTCTTTTCACACAGCAACTTCAAGGACTTCCTGATTTTTCCAAACTGGGAACATCTGTGTCCATCTGTGCACTGACTGATCTTCTGCCTCTTCTTGCTGTTCTAGAAACTGGGTCTGCTGGCACTCATCAATGAAGAGAGCCACTTTCCTCAAGCTACTGACTCCACCTTGCTGGAGAAATTGAATACGCAGCATGCTGTATGTGATGATTTGTTCTTGTTTTCCATGCAAATTATGGAGGGTCTCTTTGCTTCTCTAGAAATGCATGGTTCAAATGTATGGGTACATAGTTGTAGAGGCATGATCCTAGTTCCATGGCAATGGATATAATTTGCTGTCAAAACTGAGTTAGTTACCTGGATGAACATATCCTTGTTATCGTGCAGTTAAAGGTTTCCATGCTGGTTGTTGAATTCTTCTCATAGCTGGGGCTCTGACAACCTGCAGTAGCTCAGATTATTTAGAGCTTCAGTTTCCCTTGATTTAATGAAGTTTTCACCTGGATTTTGTTTACCAAAAGGTTGCTGTTTTCTCTGTCCAGATTAGTGTTACCTTTATTTGTGATTCCAGGATTACTCTCAAGAATTTCTGTGGACAAGTGTGTCCACAGATCTTTGTAATGGCCGGTTTAAGACATAGCCTTCTTTTTCTAAGTGTCTTTAATAGATAGTTCTGCCAGATGGGTTTGGGTTTAGTATAATGACTTTTTAGGTACTATAAATCTGTTGTTACTGCATTTGAAGCAGCCCAGACTAACAAATCCTATTATCATTTTAAGTCGGTTGTTTGCTTTTGGAGTACTAATCTTCCAGGGAGGTCACTGGAAGACAATGGTTTGTTTAGGTCTGGGTTGAGAGGATAATGTGACCTCCCCACCAAATATTTTTATCTTTTCTTTCCCCTCCAATTAGAACAATCCTTTTTATGTAAAACCGAGGGTTGCCGTTCACAACTTTGGAGTGAAGCACTACGCTGGGGAGGTAATTTTCTTTATTTGCTGAAATTATTCCAAACGCAGTTTTCATTAGATTTGTTTTACCCTGAGGCTGCTCAAAACGAACTAGAGCCCTCTCTGTTCCCTCAGCACTTTTTACAGTGCCGTTGTTGTGAGAGGTGTCTGACTGCTTGGCATGTTGTTTGAGTCAGCTCTGTTTCCTGCTAGGTCCAGTATGATGTCAGGGGGATTTTGGAGAAGAACAGAGACACTTTCAGAGACGATCTCCTGAATTTGTTACGTGAAAGCAGGTATGGTTTTGCAGTTTTTGTTTAGGATATGATGTTAAGGTGTCGTGATATCACCTAGTTCTGCCAGAGTTTGAACGTGTTAGATTTTGCATAGCAGCAGACCTTGACAGTCGCAATGAGTGTAGAAGAAATGTCAGAGGCGCCTGTAAACAGATCTGATTGTAATCAGTCCTCACAAAGTTGGACTTTCTCACCCTGTAGAGTACCTCATCCCTGTTCAGTCCAGGGCGCTGCTACAGATCTCACTTGCTACTCAGTGATGAGGAAGGATGCTGAGTGCTAGTGGGTTTCTTTTTAACTGTTTCAGGGTGCCTCAAGGGCAGCATGCACACATGTTTTTTTGCTTCACATACAGCCTGATTTTCTTGCAGTTCTGGCATTCCCTAATTTTATTGAAAGCTTAGTGTGAGGTACCTACCACAGTGCAAATTGTCATATAGTAATTGCTTCAAAGGAGGATTTCTGTAAAGACTGATGTTACAGAAAGTCTGAGCTTAGATGTCTTTGGCACCTTCATGCCTCCTGTCACTTTGCTGTGTAAGGACTCAGGATCCTGACAGTGGTGCCCTGTGAGCTGGGGCAGTACCACGTCCCTTTTTTGTAGGCATGTGATTAAGACTGCAGGATACACAGAGAGGTGATAGAAGAGGAGGGAACTGAGCCTGGGTGTTGCTGTCTCAGCTGCTGCCTTCAGCCATCCCATCCAGTCATCCTGCCTTGCTGTGCGAGTTGCTTGTTTGTAAATCCTTTAAGCCCTTCTGTGCAGTGGAAACTGTTAATAAGCATTTCCCTTTCTGTTGTTTGTTGTGGTTTCATGGCGTGTCTGACATAACATCTGTCACCTGAAGTATGTAGGTAAAAGTAATACATGAGTTAAAAATGCTGGGTTTGGTTTCACTCTTACACCTACATCTGTCTGGAGCTCAGGTTAAAAGATCTGTGTTCCTGTAAAAGTGGTAAGAGGAGGATACCCGACTGGTGGGGTAGCAAACAGCACAGCATACACAGCTGGTGTCTGAAAGTGAGGCTCATGTGGGTGGCTATTTTGTGTTGTTTGGGGCCTACAAGTTGGAAGTCTTGTTTTGTAGTCTTTGTTCAGATACAGGTCCCATTACAGTTAGCTGGAGTTTTGGTTGAGTGAGTGGAATAAAATGCATTAAGGACTCTAGGACTCCACACTTGGCTTCCCTAATGACGCATTCTGAGTTGAGAAGAAAGAACCTCCTTGTTTCACTTTAGTTTGTTGTATTTTTTTCCTCCCCTGCATAAATTCTGCAAAGGCAAAATCTATTGTGTACTAAAGATTATGGAGAAAATCAATAAGCATTGTTTGGATGGAGGAGCTGCTTTCTAAGGGATAGTGCTTTCTTTGTATTCTGTGGCAGTATACCTCATAGTCTGTTAAAATATACTTTTTTCTTTTTCTTTCCCATTTCAGTCTTGATTTCATCTATGATCTGTTTGAACATGTTTCAAGCCGCAACAGTCACGACACTCTGAAATGTGGAAGCAAGCACCGAAAACCTACTGTCAGTCTCCAGTTCAAGGTTAGTTAATGTGTTGTCTCTGCTCTGTAGCTAATCAGTTATAGATAAACTGTTCAGTAAAGAACAGCTTCAGATTAAAACAGGCAAAACTTTCAGCATCAAAACATTGTTATCTCTTCTGCAAAACTCCACTTAATAACAGCTTCAATCAGATGCTGACCTTTACACCACACTGTCCACACAAAACTCCTGTTGCTTTCCACTTGTTTATTTGTCCTTATTTTAAAGCTCATATATGAAGTTGGTCTTTTTCATCCTAGTTTTTCTTTCTAATCTAAAACCCACCACAAAATCACACAAAACCTTACAGCAGTGCCTGTATGGTAAGAAAAAGTAGTACTGAATAAATACCTCATTAAAGTGTTGCCTTGCTTTTTACCTGAAAGTTTGGAAAGCATTTCTATTAAGCATCTTTTTATGAGGCTTTGTAGCCCTCCCATCAAAAATGGCACCAAATTGAAATGTAGCATGAAGTCTATCTGCAAATTATTTAAAAGAGAAAGATTGGCACAAAACCTGTTCTAAATTGCATGAGTACAAGTCTGGATTAGTTGTCTTTCATTTTGTTTGAATTAATATACATTTGCACTGTTCACTTTTTTGTTTAAAGGCAGCAGACTCAGACCCCTTGAGGGCAAATTTTATCCTAATAGAATATTGCTAAGTGTTAGACAGAACAGCAAGGAGTTCTGGGGCACACACAGTGTCTTTTATTAAAAAACACTGCTATTATATTCCCTGGACAGTTTGCTTTGTGCTATCTCTTGTTTCAGACAATACCTACTTCTTGTGGTGAGGTGGCATTATTTACTAGCTCCCTGGGATAGCAGAAGGTGCTGTTTCCACTTAGTGATTTGTGCTTGTGCAAAGTAGACCTTTTAGATGCTACTGTATAAAAATCAACCATGGTTTGGATCAAGGTAGAACATAATGTAGAGTTCTTGCTTTCTCTGTCAGAGACCCTAGACAATATAAAGCATGATAAAGCATGAAATGAAAACGTTATTGCCTCTTATCTAAAGCTGCAGTAACTGACTATTAATCAGCTGGGCTGCTTTACAAGGGGTTAACCTTCACATCATGACATGCCCAAAGAGTTAGTCTGGGTGTTTTTTCTGTTTTAAAGCCTTCCTGCGATTAGTCCATCGTATTTCAACTGAAGATAAGAACTTTGTCTTCACAGTTTTATTCTCATGATAGGTTGGTTAACTCTTCTTTTCATTTGACAGCTTGCCTAATGTGGGCCTGGGGGTGCATGCAGAGTAGCTGAGGTCAGATACCATCTGTTTCAGCCTATTGCTTAAAGCAGAGCAAACTTTAGATTAGCTGGTAACCTGACAGTGACTTAGAGGCGTGCAGCATCCTGTAGAATCTGTCTGGCTGTACCACAAATGAATGCGAAAATAGGTTAAATCATTTTTTTTAGACTGACCAACTTTTCTGGTCTCTGTAAGTAGTGGCCTGTGTTGAGAGAATCAGTTCAGTTCTCCATAGACGTTGTAATGTTCACACAGGTTGAATACAGATGAAGTCTTTACTTTTTGAAGCTGTAAATACTTGTCTTTACCATAAAATATTTGTCTTTGCTTTTTTTCTGGCTGTTTAATATTTGCTGCCCTCGACTCCTGGTCCATAGGCTGGCAAAGACAAATGAACCAAGAACTATCACTTATGTTCCCAGTCACTTCACCTTTTGCTCCCTTTGTGCTGTACCAGCCCCTCTGCACAGCCACAACTTTGCCTGTTGCCTTTATCACTTCATGTTTAGTCACCAAGGAAGCCCTTGGTTTGCAGATTAAAGCAAGAATTTGTTGCAGCAGACTGACACTGGCACTTCCACTCCGGAACATATGGTAGAATGCTCAGTGTTGCTCCTTCAAAAAGTGAATTTTGGGTCTCCTTGGCAGCCTGTTCTGTGTTGTCTCCGCTGCTTGGCAAGCAGTGCCACCTTTGAGGGGTGGAACATTATCACTGGTAGCTTTCTGAGCTCCTCAGATCCTGGGGTGCCCTCCTAGACAGTCATTCGTATCTCTGCGAAGTAAATGCAAGGCTTCAGTTCAAAATGGTTTATCACACTTAATGATGCTGCATGAGGCAAGTTGGAATAAGATACGGAATGATGTCGGGAAAAGGGTGGATGTGTAATTAAAGTAATTATCATAAAAGGACTGAGGGGGTTTTGTGATTTTTATCTCCAGGTTCAGACAACTGACAGTCTAATGTATATTGGGTCATTCAGAGTTCTAAAACTAAACCATGTTTTTTTCTATGTTTTATGTAGCTGTACCTTAAATTCTCTCTTTTTATTGTTAAATGCAGTTAGCTGTCACATGAAGTAACTGTGAAACTGTCTGCTTAATGCTTGTTAGCCTTGTCTTTTGGCAAGATGAGTTTTCTTTAACACTCTTATTATTTACTCAATTTTTATTAATTTCAGTACAAGGAGTGTTTTGAAATCTAGTATTGGTAAAACAATGGATGCTGTATTCTAAAGTAGCTCTTTTTTCAGAAATTTAAAATATTTTTTCTACCCTCCTGTTGACTTAAATTTATTATCAGAGTGTCCTTTAGGCCAGAAAGGTTGAGACTTCATAGGAGAGAGGAACTCCCTGTGCACAAAATACTACTGGAAATGGAAAATGAATGGTTATGGGTTGGTTGAAATAAAAAGAGGAAATCTGCTTTTCTGGGTATTTCAGTTTTACCTTAGATCCATTAGTCTTCCTTTTGATTTGCTCGGGTTCTGCCATTTGGGAATCTAGTTCCTACATCTTAAGCAGTCGTTCAAAAGATCCCTGAAACAGAAACTTCCTAATTTGATATTTCCTCCTGAACAGTTTTCTTCATATCATCCTGTACATCTTGTTCAGCGTAAAAGGGCGATGACAGTTTTGATCAGAAGGGCTGGGGGGAGAAGCCAACATGAATGTGTTGGCTGTGTGTGTGCAAGCAGCTCAGGTGGTGCAGTAGTTTCTGGTGCATGCCACTAGGTGTTGCAGTTAGCCATTGTCTGCGGGGCTGGGCTGCGGGAGCAGCTGCCGGGCTGTGCTGCTTCTACACAAAGTCAGCTTGTGAAGTGCTGCCTTCTTTCTACCTGTGTTTTAGGAATCGCTTCATTCCTTAATGGCCACACTGAGTTCTTCAAATCCTTTCTTTGTTCGGTGCATCAAACCCAACGTGCAGAAGGTAAGGTTGAAAATTATGTTCATCTTTTCTATACATCTCAGGCCCTAGTCTTTCACCGCCTGTCTGGTTGTTTACAGCTGTGTGGAGCAGAGGGTAGCATTCTTCACTGACTTTGTAAAAGGCTCTGCAAGGTGAAGGCACTGGGAAAGGCTTTTTTTTTTTTTGCATGTGGGCCATGTCTTTGGGCACCTTTTTAATTGTTATTGTTCACAACTCTGATGAATGACTGGCTCTAAGGATGGTTATAAAAGGAAGGTAGAAGGCTGTGCTGCGTGTTGGGCAGCTCGGAGTCTTTTTAGGAAGAAAATATCAAAACTGCAAAGTTCATTTTAAATCACTAGCAGCATTGGATGGTGGTGCATGTGGCAAAACTTGTGTGGATGACCCACTCTCAGTCATCAGACTCATAGTCTTGCAATTGGTGTACAATTCTAGGTGTCTTCATGCTCCCTGTTCTGTTACAGAATTATGCTTTAAAAGCAGACTTGGAAACTGAGGCTTGCTCTATCTAATGTCTTTTGGGTTGGTGATAATGAAAGGCAATGTTAAGACTTACATAGATACATAGGAGAACTCTCTAGAAATGAAGTGTTAATGGAACAGTAATTGTTGAAGTTAATATTAGCCTGGTCCTGATATTCTGGGGTTTTCTGCATCTGTTTTTTGCTTCATAGACCATTACTCAGGTATGATCTGCTTATGTCAAAAATGCAACAGGCAGAGGTGCTAATGAAACTTAGTACCTTAGGTTTGGGGTTTTCACATGGCAACTTAGAAATAGATTACTTTGCTATAAATCCAATTTTACACGTTACTTTTTTCTGGGATGTCTGGTTAATCCAAGACGCTAACACATCAAACCTGGCAAATTTCATAGCAGGTTTTCATGTTACCTGGATGGTACATCCTTGACTGTGGATGTTTTCCAGTGGCTGTTAACTCTGCTTTTGCACTGCTGCTTACAGTGTGTCAAATAACCTGCAGATTTTGGGTATGTGAGCAAGAGTGAGCAGCCTGGAAGTGAGTGAGACATGCTTTGCGCATCCTGAGGTGTTTGGTGCTCTGCAGTGTGCAGCCACCAGGTAGCCAAATCTGCATGGATGACAGCACCTTGACCAGCAGCAGGGGTCTGTGGGCCCCACGTGTGTGGCAAAGCCCCTGATCACTGAGGGAGGGCAGTTTTGGAAAGCTGCTTTTCCTCCCCGCTCCTATTTCTGCCTGGAAGCCACATGATCCTTAAAAGTTCACCTGCTGCCACTGGAGTGTGAGAAGAACTTTCCTTAGTTCTTTGTCCTTTGGCATCCCAGTAAGGCTCATCTTCACAGGAGCCAAGTCACAATGATTTACCACAGTTCATGCAAGAACCTCCATAGCAAGGAAAACACTGAGTTCCCACTCCATGCTCCATGTTGGTCTGCTAGTCTTTTCCCACTAGAATGCTCCATCTCTGACAAATTTGGCATATGCTACTGTATCTCCACATATATTTTACTATCATTAAAACAAAGTTCTCACAGAATTAGCAGGTGTGCAAGCAGAAGGAGCTTGAGGCAACCTCAGTTTCAGGAAACCACAGCTAACTGCAGGAGTGCATGTAGAAACAGAGGAGGAAATTCCTGTAGACAATCTCTTTCAAAGTACCTATGTCACTGAAATCATATATAGAAATGTTTGTCCTTGTTTTCCATTTGCTTTGACTGCAAATTTTACTTGATTCAATGGCTGTACCAAATAAGAGATCCTAAAGAACAAGACCAGAGGGTTTGCACAGCTTAACTGTTGTAGCTGATTCAGTAGAAGACTTCATGGAAAATGAGAAGAAAAGCCATATGTAATATTTGTTGATTACATTCTTCACTCAGGGAAGTGTTCTCAAAATGCGCTTTTGGGGTTCAGTGTTTCATCTCCTGTGCACTGCTCTCTGTTGTCTGCCACGTCCCACAGATAGTGATTTTTGTGCCAGTCTTGTGATGTTGGTGTTGCTCCTTGTGCAATGGTGCAGGTACAGGGGCTGGCACGTGAACATGAAGCCGCTCTGTAGATCGACTTGGTTCTGTGGCCGCACACCACGCTGAGCTTTGCACGGTCCAGCCTGTCATATAACTTGTTGCTTCTCTTCAGTTAGAGCGAGGGAAATCAGGTGAGTCAGTGCGCGTAGCTCTGACCCAGCACGGCTCAGAGACACGCTAGCAGTACATGGACTACCAGGGGTTAATGCACACGTGACTCACTGAGCAGGGCTGGTTAGAAACACAACTGCTTGGAGCATTCAGATAGGCCACTGGAGCAGAGAAACAGGGATTGAAAGAAAGTAAAAATCTTCACTGAGCATTTTCCTCTGTGTTGCCCATTCATAGTTTCTCACTCTGCAGTGATGGCAAGCTGCAATCATAAAATGTAACTTCTCAAAAAATACTTGAACAACGCTTGTCAAATAACAGATGATGTGAAAGAAAGAGGTGTTTTTTTTTTTTAATATGCAGCATTAAAGGAGGGCTGGACTAGAGAGACTCAGCAAGGAGAGAGCTGAAGTTGTGTTATCAGGGGCAAAGCCTCTCAAGCTGCTTATTCTGTGTTGGATACGAATAGGTGACACACCTATTGGTGAGCATCCTCCAGAACTCTGAAGGGAAGAAGCTGGTGTAGATCAAGAGCTAATTTACTCTGGAATGATGTTTGAATTATGTAGGTGAGTGAGGTTGAGCAGATGCAAGACAAAATGAAGCCTTTGAAAAGCAGGACATTCAGCACGCAGTACTTCGCTGCTCTTCTAGACATTGAAGTGTACTCATGCTGGATAAGAGATGTGATAATTTACAGTAATTGGTTTCTTTAATTGATCAAAAGTTTAATTTTTAAATATATTACAGTGGCAAGCAAAACTAATTCAGCGTATGCAATAAACCCCTGAGCATTTACATATCAAAGCAGTTCTGCACTCATTAGTGCAGTTTCCTAAAGGGAACGCAGTGAGTACATGACCTTTTGTCACAAGACATTTCAGTGAGGAGGCCTCTGACAGAACAGAGGAGCCATTAATCTTTGGGAGACCCCAGAACAATCAGTGTATCTGTTTTCACAGTTTCCTGTCTGTTCTGAACTGGCCATAATATGGAAACTTTTCCACTTGGTATGCTTAATGAGTATTTTCTGCTAATGAAGGGTCACCCTTCTCAGCTCTCCTTATCTTCAGTGCAACTTGCAGAACTGTGTATCACTTCATCCTTTTGAACTTAAACACATCTTTCCATTTCTTGGCCTTATTTCTTTTTCTGCCTCCTCTTCTATTTGATGATGATTCGTCCCTTCAACCTTGCCTTTTCTGGTCTTCATCTATCCTTTTTTGTGCACCTTAAATTGAAAAAAAAACAGAAGACAACCATCAACAACAATACAACAACAAAAAAATACCATCTTTTTAAAGCAAGCTATAACTATTGCCATAGCCATCAGCTGAATGTTTCTTCCAGCTGGCTGCTATTAATAAAGTTGCTAAGGCTTGGTGCTGCCCAGGGGACCATTGAGGTTACTTTTAAGGTCTGAACTACCTATGCAAGCTGTTTCAGAGGCAGAAATTTTCCTGTTGGTCAGAAGGAGCCAGCCTCAGGGAGATTGGCTCAAGTGCCTTCTCAAGTTCTCTTCAGCGTCTAGGATTTTTCTTAATAAAATGTTTTGGTATAGTCATTGCAAGTCGTCCCCACCCCCAGCATCGGCATGGCCTCATCTGCACTGGTCTCTTAAAAACTTGATTATTACAGTTTGCTTCAATAGTTCCCTGTAAATTCCTGCCCTTGACAGGTTCAGACATGGCTGTTGTATCATGCCCATAGGTTGATGCATCCACTTTCCTATGGTTACAGGTCTAAGTGCAGTTTGGTCCTGACAGGGAAAATCCTGCCTTCGTCAGAGCTGGCAGGAAATATTTGTGATGCTTGTGTTTTAGGAAACCTGTTTTGATCTGTGCCACCTGAACTGGATGGCGGGGTCTTTACTCACTTTCCTGCCTGCACGTTTATTGTCTGTCTCATTCCTCTGTTGCAGTGATGGTTTTTCTGCTAGCAAGATAAAAGCTGCCTTCTCTGAAGCGTGTGAGCTCTGAAGGGGCAATCCTGTTTCTCTGGAGGTTTTTCATATTAATGTTTTTAATCTTAAAATTTAATTGGGTGAGGTAAAGAAATGAAACTATAAAACTACTTCAGGGTAGGGGCTACAGGGAGCAACAGAAAAAGTGAAACTAGTAATAACTTTGCAATTCAAAGGAAGACTGGTAGAAAAAGGTCTGTAATGAATTCTGCGAGGCTTCCTGCTGCTCAGGAGTTCTGTCATGCTCCATATTCAGCCTGCGAAAATTACTATTAGGGCAATAAGAACACTTAACATTGCTTCTGGGGGCAGAGCCATTTAAAGGATCAAGGTATGGCTATTGGCACCTGCAGTTTGAGACATAGGTCATTAATAGCCTTGAGATGTCCTGGAAGAGCAAGCAGTATGTCCCCTAATATGAAATAAGATGCAGACCTATTTTGCTTGGCGTCTGAATTAAACCTGTGCTCTTAAAATAGCTCTGAATCATCACAAACATAAGTATAGCATGATACCAACCTAAACATGGGTTAGAAGTCTATCTCAGGAATGTGGTACAAGGTAACAGCAGGAGAACAGCTTGGCCCCACCAGCCAAGGTGATCGTGTGCAGGGTGTGGAGCAGGTACAAGTTCAATGGACGCAGTTTGAGGACTGGTTGTCACACTGGAACTGCAATATTGTCAGATTGTGACTTTACTGTATGAATTACTGAGTTTGCCTTATAGAGACCTTTTTTTTTTTTTTTTTTTTTTTTTTTTCAGAAATATGGATAAGGACAGTGCAAGTCTAATGCCACTGCCTTGGGAACAGCATTGACATAAAACCTTGAAAGGTGCAGTGAGGGAGACTCTGAGCTTCAAGGGTTCTACTGTACTTTCAGCACAGGATTGCTAAGCATCTGGATAAAACTTTACT